TTCGGATGGTTTGAAGCTGGTGTTATGGACTGGCCAACTGCGCATGTATGCCGTGAGACTGGTTGCAAATAGTTTGGGATTCATGTCCTGCTAGAACGCTTATTTGTGTTGATAAATGTCAATTGTCAAATTGTCATTTAAACTGACTTATTAGTTGGAAATTTGAAATTTATATTTTGTGCAGCGAAAAGTGAAGGTGAAAACCGATAAAAATGAACATATTGAATTGGCTTGAATAGTCATTGGCTTGGTCAAAATGGAAAAATTCAAAATAGAAGAAATGTTGAAATTGGAAAAAGAAAAGTTATAAATAAGAAAGAAGAGAAATGAATTATCAGAAACAAGAAATAATTTGCTCAGACAAATGAGCAAAAATAAGAATTCAGATGTTGATAAATATTCTGAATTCAATGTTAGTATGAGGGATTTAGTTTGATATCTTATGTCATACATAGGGTTCCTGTTATGTGATATTATATAGAAAGAAGCTATTAGTTTATGTGTTAGGACGAGTACTTTACGACCTGATTAACAGCCCGTTAAAATAATCAGTGCTAGGGCTGTGCTGTCTCTCTAGCAAATGACAGGATGTGGTGTCATTCTCAGCACCGATTACTTTAATTGACTCTTAATCCGGTCGTAAAGTACCCACCCTTGAGCAAATTATATTTTTATACTGTTTTAAAAATCATTCTTATTTTACCTGAATGGATGTTTATTTAACTTATGCCAAACAATGAAATGAACATCAACAAACAGAAATATTACAATTTTATTGCTATCTTAAAACTTGTCAAGCTACAAAATTTCTGTGGTCTGCAGCATCTCTATTGATGTGATTATCTTCATCCTCTTCCTCATGGTGATGAAACAGCATTTCGACAAGTTCCTCATCATTGGATGATTCAGAATTATTTCCCCAATTTGATTCAGAGCTTGATGACTCTGATGACATTTCGGCTAATCCTACCTGTAATAATGGAGTTGAATAGTTGATGCATAGTTGAAAATCACCAAATTCTTGCTTGATTTTCATTCAAAAACATAAAATCATTTTACTCACCTGAATTTCCAAATGCAAATATGAAAAAATTGACAGTTTTGAGGATTGCCGTTCTATAAAAAACAAGATTTTTAAACCAATTATCGGGCCACTAAATATTTCTATTTTGGTTTCTCATTTCTTTAGTACATAACATAACCAACAAATCCATATTCCAAAATCATAACAAACGTGATATCGGATCACTCGATCACTCCGAATATTTGCGCATGTCACAAACTGAAAATCCTTACGAATTCCTCTGGACTACTTCGACAGTTCTCATACGGTTTGCAAACTGGATTTCGTCTTCGCTAGAACATGCGACTATTAGTTCGAATCCTGGATTTGCTTTGCTAGAACGCCTATATTCGTATGCGCATGCTTCGTACGATTCCGTATCGTTTGAAATCGCTGCTAGAACAAACCTATTGTAATAACAACAGCTGCGGCTGCGACTCTTTTTCTGTGACGATACATTTTATCACACTACTGTCCCACTATATCGTATAAATAGGTACGCAATCACTTGCTGAAAGTATGCACGGAGTTGCCTTGGGATAGCAATTGCCGCAAGAAATTGCTTCAATTATTTGCTTGTATGTAAACGTTAGCGGAAGTCAACTCTCAGAGGTGCTATCGCAAGTTACTATCTCGTGTACACCGCGCATTACACTATCAGAAATCTCATCTTGTTTGTTGCCAAAAAGAATGACATTAGATTTACTGCAATTAATACTAAGATTATCCTCTGGAACTTCAATGAACCTATCAAGTTCCTCATTTATAAGGTCACATGACTCCACTACTGTACTGGGTTGAAAACTATAATGAATTTGAGTATCATCCGCATACAAGTGTACATTACAAATCTGAAGCGTTTTCACTAGGCAGGAAGTATATATAGCTGAATATATGAATATTCCTAAAGCAAGTAGCTTAAAACGTTAAGCCCCGGGTAGCATCAACTCTATGCCTCAATGTCTCAAAGCCTTGGGACAGCTTGGTATCAGGTTCATACCTCAATGCTGAAATTTATTTTGGATAGCCTGTCATGAATGCAGCAATATAAATTGTAGTTCATATAGTTTGAAAATATCTGGCTGAGGAATACAAAAGTTTTTGCTGACTGGAAATACGTTGAACAACACAGATGAAGTTCGATCCCAACATTGACCGGATATTTTTATTTGAAAGAATTTATCTAGTTGAAGCTGGGATGATTCTGCAACATTAAATGTCTGACGGACTGCGAATAGCCATGATGCTCCCTAACATTTCCTATTCAGGACACGAGGCTAATGACCAATGTAGTCGATGCCGATGACATCAAGAAAAACACGGATGATAAGATTTTTTTTAAACCGCCAGCTTTTGTTTCGAGCTCCTTTTCTTCCAAGTTTTTCTCAGCTATAATGTGCTTATGACGATCTCTATTTTCATTTGAATGTACTACATTTTTGTAGGACTATTTACCTAACATCTTTGAAGCCACCTGCTTTTTGAATTCAGTGATAGACATTTTGTTCTGCCTTACTTCTTTGTAAGTAATATTGTCATTCACCATCGCAGATCCAAACAATAATGTGGCGCCCAATTTCGTGTAACACTTATTTCTCCTCCTCATGCAATGGAAAATTGCCTGCATTTTATCTGACATATAAGTGAAGGACTTGGGGTATCATCATAATCAGTGATTATAAGTTGTTTTTCTATTTCCCCCATCTGCTGCACTTTTCTCATTATATCCGTGTGTTTTTGCTAAGCAGTATTACTTCCCTCTTGTCCAGCCATTTCATCATGACGACTCCAGTATTTGTTTGTCTAGCATAAATTAAATAGTTTTTCAACTTTTTTGTTCAAAATATCCAAGGAGTTCAATTTTCGATTTTATCTGTATTTCTTATGCAAATGTAACACTTGTGTAATATTTATGTGTGAAAAGTGATTGTCTTCTGTCGAATAAATTACCACCGAGCGAAATCACTACAATAATTTTTTTATATTATAAGTGTGATAAATATAAAGACAAATTTTATATATTTTTTATGCTGAATTTGTGTCTTTTTTTAAATATATTAAATCATCTAAAGGAACAATACGTTCAGGCCAGTCTCAACTCCCTACACTGAGGTTAATGGACTGATACTATCAGAAAACAACTACTCCCCTGGCTAATACCACAAAGGGCGTTGGATTATATCTGACAGGTGTCAGTGCAGGATTCTTCACTGAAGTTATTCCTGCATATGCTGTTGGTGATACTACGGCCGCAATAGACCACTCGTCAGTGTAAAGTAGTGTCTATGATTACCGATATTCAAATTTCGGATTCGCGGTTGGTTACTTCGTTCACAGGCAGATGGGGCGATGACAAACCTGTTTGTTGTCCGCTTCAGCCTAGTTCGAGAAATGATACTCTGAAGGAATTCGATTTTCAATTATCGGAAATCTTGCAATAAGCTTCTCTAGTAAGGGTGATATCTGTTTGGAGTTTCATTATCACTGAAATGCAGCATAGATTGCAATTACTCAAAGCCATTCCTGCTTATCATTTTCCTGATGTTGGTTTCATATAAGAAATTTCTTCAAAATTAATCATCAATTTCGAAAACCTGTATAACATTTTGGAAATGTTACTCCTACAAGACGATGGAATGAAGTATTTTGATGAATCAACAATAGCTTATTTATTGGGAAAGAAAGTTTTTGGCTTTCTACCACTCCATCTTTATACAAAAAACAAGGATGAGGGAATCTTCCAAGGAAATGAAGGAAGTAATCAATTCTAAATTAAGTAACTCTATACATGGATGTGTAGATCATGCAAAGAAGTAACTTTCAGACACAAACTGAAAGATAGTCCTCCTGAAACAGCTAATCTCATATAAACATTGAATTACACGAAAGAAAAAATAATTTAGAATTGATTACTTCCTTCCTCTCCTTGGAAGATTCCTATATCCTTGTTTTTTGTATCAAGATGGATTACTAGAAAGCCAAAAACTTTCTTTCCCAAAAATTAATCACTCCTAAAAATATAATCCCTTCAATTCAGCTTATTTATGTATTGTTTGGAACACATTTTGTAAACTCTGTTGCTAATACTCTAAGGCATGTAACGACAATGGTATAAATTTTGTCAATCATGCCACTATGTTTTTTTTCATCCCTATAGTGAGCCCAAAGTTATCAGCACTACCTTAAATCTCAAAAACCAGACTTAGGTGGGACTAGAGAAAATACCTGTAAGATTAATAAAGGACTGCAAATATGTTTTAGAACCTCTGCTCAGACGAATAATCAGCCCGTCTCTACTTGCAGAAATATTTCCAGACAAATGAAAAGTTTCAAAAACAATACCAGTTTTTAAAAAAGGAGACTAGCAACTGATTGAAAACTATAAGGCAATTATACTGGTTAGTTCCATCGTCAAAGTTATTGAAAAAGCTGCCCACAATAGGTTCATTTCATTTCTAGATAAATACGAAATTTTGCAAAACTGTCAACATGGTTTTAAAAAGGAGGTCGATCCCCTGAAACGGCAACTAAACATCTATCTGGAGGAGATAGTTCATAATTCGAGAAGTTTTCTTTCCAAAAACTATCAGATATAGCCGATACGCTTGCACCTGTATCAAGTTGAAATGAGTAACTTTTACCATCAATTAAAACATGTACAATATATGGATTGTCTACAACCATTTTATTTGTTATCGAAAACAAATTTTCGCATTCAATAAAATTTTGAATGGATCTTGGAGTAGATGTACCTCTTGCATTTTCTTTCTTCTTTGGACACATAGGACTCATATGCCCTTTGCACTTGCACAAATTACACAAATTATTACGCAATTGGCAATTTTGCGAATTATGATTGTTTCTACCACAGCACTTGCACTTTTTCTTAGGTTTAGAACTGTGTGATGTTTGCGATGATGAAGCTGGAGTGTGCCGATATTTTCTTGAAGAAACATGATGTACTTCTGGTTCCGATTTGATGAATGGTTGTCTGCTGCTGGCATAATTATCCTCTGACGCCATTTCCGCCAATGCAGTTTCTAAAACATCTGCAAACTTGGAAGTTGACTTTTCCCTGAAAAGTCTAGATTGAACATCAACTTGTATGCATCTTCATCCAAGGCATTCAACAATATTGCCTTTTTCTTATCAGCAATATCATTTACTTGCAAATAATTATCAAGTCTACGCTTATAAATTACCCAGTCTCTATCTTGAGCACTGAATTCCCGTACTTGTCCATAATATGATGGATTTCGATTTGTTTGTGGATCTGGCATTTTCGCGAGCCAAAATACTGTTTGTCCAAAAAAAAAAACACTATTACACTGGGTTCTGACACTTTTTATGAAGTGTTAACACCTCTCGTCGCCACTTCTGTAATGTATTGGGAATGACTGGGTGAAATTATTTAATTGCAAGTAAAATATCAAGGTCCTTTATTCACTCAAAACGTTTCCAATAGACTGCGAACATACAATATAAAAACAAAGGTAGCAAAACATAAAAAACATTGGTATTTCTTACCGAAATAAATAATATGGATATACTGGGTGATTAAATACATTTTCAATAGCAGTACATCACAATAATAATAAACGACTTTATTTCTTCCATTTATAGAATGAAAAGAATACATATACCGGGTGTCAACAAATCTATTAGACAAGTCATAATTTCTAGACTATTAGGAGAATTGAAATGAGATTTGGTATAGTTGAATGTTATGTGGAGAGGAATGTTTTCACATATTTTTCACTTTCCGGTCACTTCCGGTTTCAGCGGAAATGGCTCCGGTTCTGAATTTTTAAATGGAACACCCTGTATATTGTANAATTCAGAACCGGAGCCATTTCCGCTGAAACCGGAAGTGACCGGAAAGTGAAAAATATGTGAAAACTCTCCTCTCCACATACCATTTATCTGTACCAAATCTCGTTTTGATACACCTAATAGTCTAGAAGTTATGACTTGTCTAATAGATTCGTTGACACCCGGTATAATGTGAATTTGGCACAAAGCAAAAGGCGAAGTTCAGTTTAAGATGATATAAAATCAGCTCATAAACTGTTTTTCCTCTTAACCTTAAGTATATCGCTAGGTGGGTTGAACTTAACAATATCTAAGAATGAAATTAAAACAATGACACCTATTTCTAATCTTCCATCGTACGTATATTATGATTGCATTGAAAACAAGTGTTTCTTATAGGCAAACTGTAGGATTTGAACATAGTAGGAACCTGATTATATATTGAACATATTTGATAAGTATAACTACGCCTGAATAAATCTTATCTAAAGATTGGCGGTGAAAGGAACGAGTCAAGTATGCACGTTGAATAAGCTGATATATATATTTTTCAAATTTTCAATTGGAGTCCATCATTATACCTAAACGTTTGGCTTCACTTACGTTTTGAAGTACTTCATTTTTTATTACAATACTTATGCGCGGTGTACACGAGCAAGTAAAACTATCAAAAGTCACTGTCTGAGAGTACTTCCACCTATACTTGCGCATGTAAACACTCTCTAAGAGTAGTCTCCCAGAAAGTGAAAATATTTACGGCAAGCGGTTGCGGTGAGAATCTTGTACCAGTGTAAACTTGTTAGGAGATCGCTCTAGGAATCACCTATTTATTTCGGATTTGTTGAAAGTTTAACTGCAAGTGAAAAAAGAAATATGGAAGATGATAAGCGTGGATGGACAAAGGAAGAGACATATGCGTTAATAGGAATGTTTGAAGAATTTCCAGAATTATGGCAAATAAAATCAAAAATTTATAGGGATACAGTAAAAAAACAAAAAGCGCTAAAAATCATAGCCGAAAAATTTAACTCAAACGAGACGGAAATTCAGCGGAAACTTCACAATCTTCGCACCCAAACTAACCAAGAATATAAAAAAAATTGAAAAAAGGAAAAGTGGTCAAGGTACAGACGAAATCTACAAAAGTTCTTGGGAATATTTTGAAGCATTAAAATTCCTTATCAATCAGAATGAAGTGTCTGAGACCGAGGATAACTTGGTAAGTAAACAAACATTTTTTTTTAATTAAGTGTATTTTATTTTTTGTTGGTAAATAATTCGTTTACAATTTTAAATATACTTGTATTGCCAGGAAACTCCCCCTTCGGTCGACATAACATAATCACGAATTTCCTCTCGAATTTCTTTAGCAGTTACTGAGTAATTGTGAGCATTTCTGTATTGTAGCGGTAACAGATTTTCTGTTGGTAATCCTTCATTACGCCAGTTTCCGTTTTCATTTTCAGTATCGAAAGTGCCTGGCGGAGCATACAGATTAGTAGACATGTTACGGGACATAAGAAAATTATGAAGGACACATATTGTTGTTACAATTGTTTTTACTTTTTCCGGTGCAAGTGCAATTGGTTTTCTTAAAATTCGAAATCTTGTAGCCATGATCCCAAATACATTTTCAACTATTCGT